GGGGCTTTCGGGGCGTTGGGGATTTTAGGGCCTTTAGGGTTTATTATGGGGGTTGAGGCGCTTTACTTGGAAGCCCTTTTGACTTCGTAAGTAGGGTTAGCTAGGTGGGCTGTGGGGACTTTTGTAGGGTTTGCAAGGGATACTAAGTAAACTTACTAAGTCAAGAGGGCATCTGAGTAGGGGCTTTGAGGCTGCAGGGCCTTGGTGAGGAAGGGCTCATGGGGTTGAGTGTCTCGGGTTCGGGGCTTTGGGCGTTTAAGGCTTGGGCCTGGGGCTCGATGTGGGAAACGCTCCCTCAGGGGGGGTAGTCTGCATGGCATGCCCTTGTACCCCAAGTCCTACAGCCCCTAACTTGATCCAAGCTCCTAAAACTTTCTGGCCCCTTTTGCTGTCGAGGTTCCTAGAACCTAAATACTCTGCGAAACCTAACATGCCAGGTTATCGAAATTTGCAATACTTCCCTACCCTGAACCCTGAACCCTGAACCCTGAACCCTGAACCCTGAACCCTAAACCTAAGCCCTAAACCCTAAACTTCCCCAGAACCCTCTGGAGGCCTCTGGCTGCTGGTTCGACTTACCGGCAAGGAGGGCAGGGGCGGAGGCTGGACCGAGTCCTCCGGCTTCGGAGAACGTTTAGGGTTTAGGGTTTTGGGATTTAGGGTTTAGGGTTTAGGGTTTGGGGTTTGGGGTTTAGGGTTTGGGGTTTGGGGTTTGGGGTTCGGGGTTTAGGGTTTAGGGTTTAGGGTTTGGGGTTTACAGTTTGGGGTTTGGGGTTTGGGGATTAGGGAAATCTCGGAATGCGTTTAGGGTTCCATCTGGGAAGGCTTCACACAGGAAGCTGGCAAAAAAAACACAACTCCGTGAATTGTTCTCAGAGGAACCTACGAAACAAAAACACTTGTTGCAGAACGGGGTGTAAAAGGGGCCCAGCCTTTAAGGAAAGACCCACTCCGGGTCCTCCTTACACAGAGCTGCGCTAACCCTCAACCCTAAAGCCTAAACCCTGAACCCTCAACTCTCAACCCTACACCTAAAACCTAAACCCTAGTCCCTGAACCCATAACTCTCAACTCTCAACCCTAAACCTACACACTAAGCCCTGAACCCTCAACTCTCAACCCTCAACCCTAAACCCTAAACCCTAAACCCGGTCCTTTGCTAAGGGAGGCAGAGGTGGCACTTCGGGCTCTGCCGGCTCCGGCGTGGCTTCACGGGGCGGCGCAGGCGTTGTCGGCCTCGCGCTTTGGAAGCTGGGGTTTAGGGTTTAGGGTTTAGGGTTTAGGGTTTGGGGTTTGGGGTTTAGGGTTTAGGGTTTAGGGTTTAGGGTTTAGGGTGTGGGGTTTGGGGTTTAGGGTTTAGGATTTAGGGGGAGGGGGAACATCTCAAAGCCCCTCTGAAGAGCTATCACAAAGGGACCGAACTCGTTTAGTTCGAAGAGCCAACTCGAAGCCAGAAACCCCCATTCCCAACGCCCAAAAGCCAGCCTAAACCCTAATTAAACCCTAGACCCAAAAAAAAAACAAAACCCTATATCTTACACCCCACAAACCCTGAGGCCCTAAACCCTAAACTTTAAACCCTAATCCCTAAACCCTGAACCCCAAAAACCCTGAACTCTAAACCCCTACACGCTAAACCCCAAAAACCCTAAAACCTCCAAACCCTGAACCCCTAAACCCAAAAACCCCTGAACTTCAAAGCCCCAAAACCCCAAACCCTAAAGCCTAAACCCCTGAACCCCAACCTCAAAACCCCGGACCCTGAACCCCAAACCCCAAAACCCCTGAAGCCCTAAACCCCTAAACCCCAAAACCCCTAAACCCTAAACCCCAAAACCCCAAACCCTGTTCCTGGGAGTTGGTAGCCGTTCTCCCGGCCTCGAGGGTCCACTCCCGGGACCTTAGGAAGGGCTGGAGGTTTAGGGTTTAGGGTTTGGGGTTTGGGGTTCAGGGCTTTTTTTTACTGGAATCACCTTTTTCGGGCGGAACATCAGCGTTCTCCAGATGTGAAACATTCATGAACGACCCCAACCGGGTTTAGGGTTTAGGGTTTAGGGTTCTGGGTTGAGGTTCATCAAGTGCCAAGTATGCACAGGCAAGCGAGGCAGGATTACTCTCATCCCCAAGCCCGACTAAGCTGGGTTTTTGGGTTTGGGGGTTTAGGGTTTAGAGTTTAGGGCTTAGGGTTTAGGGTTTAGGGTTTAGGGTTAGGGTTTAGGGTTTAGTTTTTATAGTTTCGGGCTTAGAGTTTAGGGTTTAGAGTTTAGGGCTTGGGGCATAGCAGGGATGAGGGTCCTGAGGGTCCTCAAAGTTCAGGGTATGAGGTCAAGGGTTTAGGGTCCCATTATCTTCTGGGACATCTAAAGCCACCACCCCACCCCCCCCTCCTCCCCCCGCGACAAAACAAAGGCTTAAAGAACGAAGATAGATGTACCTTACCTTAAAGCCCCCGTAAAACTTTAAACACCGACCACCCCCCAACGCCTACCAACCCTGCACCCCTAAAACCCTGAACTCCTAACCCCAAACCCTAAACCCCGAAACCCTAAACCCCCAAACCCAAAAACCCCAAACCCCAAACCCTAAACCCTAACACCCCCCCCCCCCCCATCGTGGAAGCCCCTGGCTCCAAGCTCGCTGGCTGGCCACGTCGCTTCCCCTCCTTGGCCCCGTGGCAGGGTTTCGGTTTTGAGGGCTTTGGGGGGGGGTTTCGGGTTTAGGGTTTAGGTTTAGGGTTTAGGGTTTAGGGTTTAGGGTTTAGGGTTTAGGGTTTAGGGTTTAGGGTTTAGGGTTTAGGGTTTAGGGTTTAGGGTTTAGGGTTTCGGGCTTAGGGTTTGGGTTTCGGGTTCAGGGTTTAGGGCGTAGGGTAAGGTGATGGAGCTCTCATTCTAAAGCCAAACCCTGAAACCCTAAACCCTAAACCCCAAACCCCAAAAACAAAATTCTAAGTGCAAATTCCCAGGTCCAGCCTTGAACTGTCAGAACCCTTTGCAACCTTGTATAGCATGGCGGTGGCACCCTCAGCCCACGCTAAACCCTAAACCCTAAACCCTAAACCCTAAACCCGAAACTATAAAAACTAAACCCTAAACCCTAAACCTTAAACCTAAACCCTAAACCCTAAACCCCGTTCATCCCCAACTCCTTAACGTTATCTGAAACGGACCTCTGTCCCCCTCCCCCCCATTGTGGGGTGCAGGGTATATAAAGGGTATAAAGTGCTTTTGAATGAGGGGACCATGCGACAAGAGCCTTGAACCCCGACATCCTAAACCCTAAGGCTCTAAACCCTAAATACTTGACCCTAATTAAACCCTAAACCCTAAGCCCTAAGCCCTGAACCCTAAACCCTAAACCCTAGACCCTAGACCCTAGAGCCCTAAGCCCTAAATCCCAAACCCTAAACTAGACCCTAGAACCCTAAATCCCAAACCCTAAACCCTAAACCCTAAGACTGTAAACCCTAAGACTCTAAGAGCCTGAGCCTCTGACCCGCTTTGGAGGCTCTCGCGCTGGCTGCGGGCAGTGAGCTGCTGACCTGGGCGGCAGTTTCCTAACTGTAGGAGAGGAAAGGGTTTAGGGTTTAGGGTTTGGGGTTCGGGGTTCGGGGTTTGGGTTTAGGGATTATATAGAGTTTGGGGTTTAGGGTTTGGGGTTTAGGGTTTAGGGTACCCCTCCTGTTTAATGAACGAGGTTCATAGCGGATCCTGTTTCTATCACAAGGGCATAAGGTTATGTCCCCCTTAATTATAAACAGCTGGCAGGCAAAACCGATGGTGTTTTGATGCGAACGAGGCTTCAAGCTGGAGGAGTTGAGCGCTGCGAGCGTCTCTTGGCATAGGGACATCGCCGTGTCAGGGATGTGCTGAAGTCCCGGCTTATGGCTAGGCTTTAGGGTTTAGGGTTTAGGGTGTGGGGTTTAGGGCTGAGGGTTGAGGGTTGAGGGTTTTCAGGGTTTTCAGGGTTTTCAGGGTTTAGCGTTTTCAGGGTTTCAGGGTTTAAAGGGCTTAGGGTTTTCAGGATCAAGGGTTCTGGTTTGTCTGGCTCACGCTGAGACTAGGACGTGCAGGATATAGGCCCGCACTTTGGAGTTTAGGAGTCAGGGCTTAGGTTTAAGTTTAGAGTTTAGAGTTTAGAGTTGAGAGTTTAGAGTTTAGAGTTTAGAGTTTGGAGTTTAGAGTTTAGAGTTTAGGGTTAGGGTTTAGGGTTTAGGGTTTAGGGATTAGGGTTTAGACAGGGTTTTGGGGGTTGAGGGCTTCGGGGTTTGGGATCCTGAATGCAGGTGTAGAATCCTTCTGTCAAAAGCAGGGATTGCTCCCTGGCACCCTAGACAACACCACCGCGTAAGCTCCATAAAGCCAAATCCCCACAACCACAACACACAAAAAAGACACCTAAGAACTAAGCGGCCGAAGCCTTCTAACCAACCAGAACCCTAAACCCTGAGCCCTTCTTTTTCCCCCAGCGCTGGTCAGGAGGGTCCTCGTTTCCCCTGGATCTGTCCTTGGTTTGGGGTTTAGGGTCTAGGGTCAATGGGGGGAGGGTTTAGGGCTTAGGGGGGTTCGGGGCCCTTCGGATTTAGAGACCTTGGGCCTTGGGGCCGGATCCTAAACCCTAAACCCTAATCCCTAAACCCTAATCCCTAAACCCTAAACCCTAAATCCCAACGCAAAACCAACTTGAGCGTTTCGGGATTTCGGCGTTGCCGGGTTTCGTGCCTTGGGCCTAGAGGTTTACTTCCTCGTTCTGAAAAACTTCATGTTAGCTCCAAAGCAGGCACCCGGAAAAGGAAAGGCTGAAATAGTAGACCCCTTAGGCCTTTTTCTATTGCCTTCGAGAAAACTACAGTCTTCAGACTATCTCCACTTCAAGGTATCTTAGTTCTAGGTCCGGTCCTGAACAGCAAGCAACCCAGGCCCCTTGTACCCCTCAACCCTAAACCCGAAACCCTACTAAATATTCCTAGGGTCCCAGGTTAGGTTGGGTTCCCGGATTTCCCCTTATTTGCTGTGCAAGCAGCGCACCAGTGCACGGCTGATGTCGCCAAACTCGTAGCTGTCCTGGCCAGAAGTGGGTTTGCGGTTTAGGGGGTTGAGGGTTTAGGGGCTTTAGGGGTTCGGGGTTCAACGCGCAGCAGCTTTCTGGCCACGAGACCCACCAAAGTAACTCAAAGCCCATTTGTATGGAGGCTATCGTCTTTTAAGACTGTTAGGTAACCTTCAAAAAAAGATGTGAGATTTTCAGACCCCCAACACCCTAGACCCCACAGACCCTAGACCCCATGAGCAATCCGAAACCCTGACTAAGATCACAATCAACCCCTACAAATTCTACATCCTATGCTTCCCCCACGTCTAAGCCCTCTAGACCTTACACCCAATCAGCGAGCCCTAAACCCTGTAAACCCTAAACCCTAAATCCTAAACCTTAAACCCTAAACCCTAAACCCCGAACTCTAAGCCCTCTCAGCCCTCGGGCGCCTTCCCAGTTAAAGATGACACGCTGCGCTGGATCTGGGCTTTCGTCAAGTCGCCCAGGACGTAGTTCTCATTCCCTGGCTTTTGGGATTAGGTTTAGGGTTCAAGGGGCTCAGGGTTTAGGGTTTAGGGTTTATAAGGGTTTAGGGTTTAGGGTTTAGGGTATAGGGTTTAGGGTTTAGGGTTTAGGTTGGCGCGTGACACCCCTGCACAGACCCTTACATCCTTACGGCTTCACACAGGAGTTCATCTTGAACAACCAACCCTTCAAACCCTTAACCCTGAAAACCCCAAAACCTAAACCCTAAACCCTAAGCCCTAAACCCTAAACCCTGAAAACCCCAAAACCCTAAACCCTAAACCCTAAACCCTAAACCGGAGGTTCGAAGGAGCCTTGGCCCAGCAGAACGCCTTTGGCTCTGCGGTCGAGCTCCTTTGCAGCGCGCCAAGCACAGTTTCGGACCGTTGGACGATCCTGCTGTGTCGGGTTTGACGGTTGTCAAGCGAGAGTTTAGGGCTTCGGGTTTAGGAACACTGCCTCAAGAGCCCTAAATCTATATTTTGTGGGTCGCCTGGCACCCAGCCTGCGCGAGGGCCCCCGTGAGCTTGGACACCGCACGATTGCCGAGCTCGAACTCCACGCTACTGGTGTACCTCTGGCTGAATTTCCTGTCCTGGGGTGCTTCAGTGTCATCTCAGAAAGAAGCTTGTGGGGTAGGGCCTGGGGTGCTTCAATCCAGGAGAGTTCGAAGTATATTTACTTGTGAATATCCACCGAATATCCCTACGTATAAGAGTACTCATGAAACTTGTTGCAGCTTGGGTCATATGCACTGTATCTGAATTAATGTTGGGCTCTGAGTGCAGATACCCTACTTGTCAACCTGCTTACAACTGCCCATGATGATTCCAGTGTGGGCACAGGTTCAGGATCACCTGCACTGGGAGAAGGTGCGCCACCGGCGTCAACCCAACTCCTTAGAAGGTTGCGGTTTGGGGTTTAGGGTTTAGGGGTTAGGGTTTAGGGTTTGGGGTTTAGGGATTGGGGTTTAGGGTTTAGGGTTTAGGGTCTATATAGAGGGTTTGGGGCCTTGTGATAGAAGCCTGGAGGCAGAGACCGAGTGCAGCCCATCCTCGGCTTGAAACTCTAAGCCCTAAGACCCGAACCCAACATCTGAACCCGCCGCCTAAACTAAACCCCTAAATTTTACCTCAAAGGACCCACCTAAAGCCCCTAAACCCTATATAAACCCCTGACTCTTAAGCCATAAACCCAGCTCGGGATTGTGAGGCTTAAGTTCTGAGAACCTCCCACTCAGAAGGGCACAAGAGCAAAGCCTGGTATTGTGTTGGGGTTCAGGGTTTAGGGTCAGTACAGGGTCCAGGGTTTAGGGGTTTAGGGCTTTTTAGGGTGTTAGGATTACTTACCCTAATGCTCCATGTGCCTAAGCAATGAATACTTGGGCCACAGAGCAGCTGCTGTGTGACTTCGGGGCGCGAGAATATGAATTGTAGGCACCTTGGTAGGCACCTTGTGGTTTAGGGCTTAAACTGTTCTACGGTTCAGGACCAGGAACCCTCATGACTAAACCCTAGACCCTTGGGAAGTCGGGTCTGAGAGGTAGTTTACGTTCTTAAAGTTTAGCGAAGCAGAGTTGAGGGGGGGGGGACGTGGTTCGCTCCCTAGACCCTAAAGCCCAACCCCAAACCCGAAACCCCAAACCCCGTCATGCCTATCTGGATCCTTAATTGCAAGGATTCTCAGGGTTTAGGGCTTGTAGTTCTGAAAGGAAGACATTCGGCACCACCAAGCAAGAACAGGTAAACCCCAAACCCCGCAAGATCTTAACGCCTGAAAGTTTGGGGTCCAACCTTCGGAAGTGGGTTTAGGGTTTAGGGTATTAGGGTCCTTCTTTACAGGGTGCAGTAGTACTCCGTACTGCCCAAAAAGGAGCCCTAGTTTAGAGAACGACCCAAGTCCCTAAACCCTAAACCCTGAACCCTATAAACCCTATAAACCCTAAACCCTAAACCCTAAACCCTTCGGGGAGTTTGATCATTAGCCGCGGCGCCGATTGCGACCACTGTCTGAAGCAGAAGGCGCAGGTCCTGTAAACCCTAAGCCTTATAAACCCCAAACCCTAAACCCTAAACCCCACTAATACCGCAACCTTAAAACCTAAAGCTTAAACTCCTACAGCCTGAGTCTCAAGCCCTAGACTGGGGATGTAGGAGCTTTTCCAAAGGACTCAGGAAGTTGAGGCTAGAGCCCCAAGCCGTCTAAACCCATGAGCCCCAAGCCGTCTAAACCCACAACCCTAAACCCATAACCCTAAACCCTTAGCCCTCACCCCATACCCCGCCAAGAACGACAAACAAACCTCTGAAGCGAAGCTCCCGACATGGCAACACGACCCTTCCAGTATTTAATTAGGGTTTAGGGTTTGGGTATGCTTGAGGGTTAGGGTGTTGGACCTTGTTGGGTTTAGGGTTTAGGGTTTGAGTTTAGGGTTTAGGGTTTGGGGTGTGGGGTTTAGGGTTTAGGGTTGTGACTGATGGTTGGGGGCCTCCCAAAATCACTACGGAGCATTTAGAGTTGCACAGTGGGTGGGGCCAGGAACTCATGATCCTGACTGGCTGCTCTGCTGAGATGGAATTTGCTCACTGTATGATCTTCGCACAGGCTGACTCTGTCCAGCTGAAATGCCACAAGAACCAACTCTCCTGCCCATTTCTTCTGCTTCCACCACATTGATCATGCCCTTCATAATCATAATCTGCTGAGCAAAGTGGCTGATGAACACTGACACAGTGTCATCCGTCTCATAGTAGCTACGGACCTTGGTGTCGATTCTGTGTCGCTGACTCCTCTCATACTTCTGCTTCTCAAGCTGCACACGAGCATTCTCTCCATAAGCTTCCAGGAGACTTGCCACTTCACTTCGTATCAGCTCCATGCAGTCTTCCTTGGTCTTGTGCCCGGCAAAGCGGCGGCGCATGCCTGGTCCGCTCTTTTGCCCGCTCGCGGCCCAGCCTCTGCAAGCCTTGTTGATATCTTCATGCCTGTTTGCCACTGGTCGTTTAGGGTTCAGGGTTTAGGGGTACCCTAAACATCACGGTTGAGGGCTTGGCCGTAAACAGTGCAGGGCTTAACCCGAAGCTTAGGCTTCAACCCCAAAGCAGGAACTCTGCTAAGCCGAATCCTCATGAAACCCCTTTGCCCTGGTCATCTTTTTGTAGTGGGGATAGCCGAAGAGCCCTATAACCCCGAAACCCTAAACCCAAAGCCTCATAAACCCTAAACCCTGAACCCTAAACCCTAAACCCCCTAAACCCTAAATTTCCGGCGGGCTCCTCTTCATCAACCACCTCCGAGTCTTGTACTCGCCTGTGCTGCTTGCGTTTAGGGTTTTGGGCTTTGGGTTTGGGATTTTAATCTGTGGGGCCTTGGGGTAGGGAAACCCGAAAAAAAAAGCACGGAACGATTTGGGGGCTGTTTGCGGATTTATGCAGGTTTCAGTTCTGTGTTTGATCTTCGGATTGTAGGGTTTTTGAGTCTTGGGGGTCTCAGGGTTCCGTAGAGTCGCCTTGAACCTGTACAAAGGGTGTATCTATACCGATACTGAAGATGCTATCAAGGGTCGAAAGGTTGCTTTAGCTCTAAACCTGGGATGTCCCCCCTTATACTAACAGTCCTTTATAGGGATTCTAATAGGGGGTACTAGAAAACCTATTAAGGATTGTTAGTATAAGGGGGAACCTCCCACCCTCAAACCTCCAAACCTTAAAGTCACTCCAGGCAGGGCCTTGTTGCCTTTGGGGGGCTTAGACTTTAAACGCGTATTAAACCGAGGTCCCCGGGATGCAGTCCACTTGCTAGAGTTTAGGGGGTTTAGGGTTTAGGGGTTAGGGTCTAGGACTCAGGCTCTAAGGGGGTTTGGGAGGGTCTGGGGGGGTTTGGGGGGGTTTATGGTTTATCCGTTTTTTGGGGTTTCTGGGGCTTAGTTAGTTTGTTTGTTCTCTTTGTGAGGGGGCGCGGGGGGGGAGGGGGGGTGGGTGTGTTAGGGGGTTTAGGCGGGGCGTAGGCTTAACGTTGAAGGTTTCAAGTTCAGGGATGATGATCTGTTCATGAAGGCCACATAACTTAATCATTTTACTTTATACATTACAACCAACCACATTGAAAAACAACAAGTCAACATACTGCCTAGAAGCCACGCGTCCCAGTACTCAAAGTGAGAGTTGTTACAAGATAGCGGCGGTCCGTTTTTGTTTTTGCTTTTTGCGGGGGCGGGGGGGGGGGGGGGTCGACTATAAGAAAATCCTATGATCAAGGGTGAGGGGGAGGATAGGTGTGGTCAAAGTTTAGAGCAACCAGCAACCGCCCCAAACTAACCCACCCTCCACGCCTGGCGATCTCCCGCGAGATGTCTCCGAACTCGTAAGAGGGTTTGCCCGTGAGCTCGGCAACCTGACTCACAGAGGTCCAAAAATCTACCCCTAAACCCTGAACCCCCAGAACCCCCTAAACCACCCCCCGCCGCCCCACCACCTCCAGAGAAGTGGCCCCAAGTCTTCCCTAACCCCGAAAACCCCAAACCCTCCAGCCCTGAATCCTAACAGCCCCCGAAACCCATGGGCTGCCCAGGAGGAAAGAAAAACCGAGATGGGAGGAGGAACTGTAAACCCTATACCCTAAAACCCAAAAACTAAGCCCTTTGGCCCCTAAACCCGTAAACCCTAAAACTCTTAAATCCCCCCCACAACCCCTAAAGCCCTCAAACCCTTAAATCCTAAACCGCGGACCCGGGTTTTAGGGTCTTTCGGCAGTTTCGGGTTTAGGGCTTGGTGGGTTTCTAAGGGTTGCTTTTGGGTGTTAAGGAGTTCTTCGGCTTTTGTTAGAGTTCACTGTGGGGCTCCTTCTTACACCTGACAACACGGAAGGATCCGAGGCCTGTTGCTTCGCTTGAGCATCCAGGTACTTGCTCAAGTCGCCGAGCTCGTAGACGTCCTGCAGCCACAGTCTTTGGCCCCTGATCGTGTAGGTGTATAGAGCTGTATGCGTTTGAAGGCTTGGAGCGGTTGAGGGTTACCCTAAACCCTAAACCCTAAACCCAAAACCCTAAACCCAAAAAACCCTAAACCCTAAACCCTAAACCCCAAACCCTATACCCTAAGCTTGCTCAAACCCGCTCGTGGTCGGCTTGCCTTGCCGGTGACTTTGCACACTTCCTTGGCCCGGCAGATGGGTAGTTCTCTAAACTTGGCTGCACCCAGGAGGGTAGCTAGAAATTAAACTTTTATCTGCCTTAATAAGAAACCCAATAAACCCAAAAAAGGTAAGGATCTAAAGTTACAGTAAAGTACCACAAAGTAAACTAGGGTCCCTTTTTGGGTACCCCATCTAGACACAGGAGTATCCTAGGAGTATAGGGGGTTAGAAGGGGGCCCAAACCCTGGAAAAGGGAAATAAGGGCCTACTCCGGGTCCCAGTCATATAGTACGGCACCCTTATTAAAAAAAAGGACCAAAAGGTACCCTAATTTAGAGAACTACCCAGTAGGTTCAGGCTTCAGGCGTTTTGGGTTTAGGGGTTTGTGAAAGCAGTCATCGGACATCCCGAGCCAGAAGAACGATTGGGCTTAGGGGCTTAGGAGTTTAGGGCGTAGGGTTCTAGAGTTTAGGGGTTGAGCGCGTCAAGGGTTCAGGGTTTGGGGTTCAGGAGCTTAAGGGTTTGGGGTTTCGGGTTTAGTGTCATCCTAGAGTACTACACATCTGGTAAACATGGCCAACGCGCGAAAATGCGCAGCCAAGTACCTGCCCCACAAGAACGCAAGGAACGTGCCATATTTCACACTAAGCTACTAAACCCTAAACCCTAAACCCTAAACCCTAATTAAACCCTAAACCCTAAACCTCAAGGAGCTCAGGGGATTGCAGGCTCAGGATCAGGGGTAGTGTCGGACGCATTGCGTGGGCGCTGCAAATGGTGGACGTCTTCATTAGGGTTTAGGACTTAGGGCTTAGGGTTTAGGGTTTAAGGTTTAGGGTTTTACGATGAATCGTTTCGAAGCCCCCAGCCGCATTAAAGTGCAAGAGCAAGCCCAAGCGCTCGAGATGACCAGGCTTGAAGGGTTCAGGGTAGTGTTCAGGGTTTAGGGTTTAGAGGGTTTTTGGAGCTTTCTATCTGGGGGTTCGACCTTGGATCCTGAAGGTCGTGCCCTTGGGTGTTGGGGTCCATTTTTAGGGATCCCTAGGGGATATAAGGGCCATATTCGGAGTATATCGAGGGAAGCCTTTAGGGGTACAACCTTAGGGGTACGAGTCTTCATCCCTTGATATGCCCATGCGCCCGATGCTCGCCTAAGAGACCGAAGCCTCCACAGCCCTAAACTCTAAACCCGAAACTCCCTGCTAAGGATACAGGACATAGTGACTACCCCCAGGATATAATATCAACTTCATCAAGAGCCCCTGAATACACATATTCTGCCTGGGGCTGCATGAAAGGAAAGCCACCGACATAGACTTACACAGGAGCTTGTGAACATCAACAAGGCCAGCCTCCCAATAACAAGTATAGAAGTATAAGGAATGACCCAAAATACTAAACCCTAAGACCTGTTCAACATCGATGGGCACCTACACTAGTTCGTGGTTGGGATAGTAGTAAAAATTTACATGTCTATTCCTTATTGAGTTGAAGTGCCCTCAAAAATGAAAAAAAAAGGTTACCCAACTATGACAAAGTACATGACACCCATCCGAGTCTCGGCTTTGGCCTTGGCATCGAGGGACCTGGTGATGTCACCGAATTCGTAGCTGTCCTTCCCTCGCGGAAAAAAAGAGGCGAGGGCGAGGGCTAGGCGAGGGGCGGTTGTTCCAAGTTGGGACCCTGTTTGGGTGAGCTTCTTGCGATGAAAATAAGATAACCGGAAGGGGTCTATCCATGACTGGTCTAGCTTGGGGCTTGGGAGCTGCGTCGGGTGGGTAATCCTTATAGGTATCCCCCGAACTTAGAAACCCGAACTGACAGCGTCTTGAACCGAAGCGAAATGGCAAGACAGTCGCACATTCTGAGCCCGTCAGCCCAGTCGGACCTTAGAACCCGAATGTGTAGGGTTTAGGCTGCATAGGGTTTAGGGTTTGGGGTTTAAAGTTTAGGGCTGTTTAGGGTCCAGCGGCTCAGTTAATCCCAGTCTGCCCCGGACCCCCAGGAGGAACTCCTGTAAAGTTGCCAACGGCTTCCTGCAGCTTGCCGCCGACGAATTTGGACAAGTCACCTCGGTGTTCCAGTCGGCCCTGAAAGCGCTCCAAATCCTAAAGCCTACAAGGAGGGGCCCCCTTCCCGTAGTAACTATACTTAAGGGACTTATAACCTAAGTTAGGATCCTTATAACACAATTTAGGGTTCTTATGACTCTACTTATAACAAATCCTAACCCCTCAACCTTGGGATGTTCCCACTTCTACCGCAGTCCTTAATTGGGATTCAAATATAGGGGGTACCGCAATCCCTACTAAGGACTGCTAGTACAAGGGCGAACATCCCTACCTAGTCCCATCAAAGCCCCTGCAATCTCTCTAAGCCCTTTAAGCCCATCATCCTGCAAGCCCAGGTATAAGCGCGACAAAGCCCCCTACTGCTGCCTGGGGAATGCTTGACATAGGGGACTGCATATTTGGTCAGTTCTCTAAACGACGGCCCCGTTTTGGGATACCCTAAACAAGAGGGGTCGCCTTATGACAAGGACCCCAACAGGGACCATATTATCGAGAAATCACCAGTTCGATGTGGGGATCAACAATGTGGGGGGGGGGGGGGGGATATGCATTTTTCTCTGCTCTAACTCTGGACCCTACATCCTAAAGCTAAACCCTGCAAGCCCTCAAACCCCTAAGCTACTGTCTAGGGAAGGCTTAATTACTCTGAGGTGCAGGGATTGCTTCGTGCTAACGCTCACTGCTTCACAGAGCGAGTGGCCGAACTCGTACTTGTCCTTGCCAGTCAGCTTGTTGATGAAGAGATCACCTCAAGGTTCGGGTTTACAGGTTCGGGTTCCTTTCTTTGGCTTACAGGGTTCATAGGGATTCTGGTATGGTTTAGGATGTGGAATGTGGTTGGCCCACCTGGATGTGATATTCAAATGGGCGCTGGCTGACAGCTTCTTTGGGGAAACGCTAATTAAACCCTAAACCCTGAACCCTGAACCCTAAACACTAACCCTAAACCCTGAACTCTGAACCCTATAACCCTATAACCCTGAACGCTAAACCCTGAACCCTAACCCTAAACCCCTAAAGCCCTCTCTTGGTGACTAAAGCCCGGGCACCAAATTGGTAGCCGCGCTTCTCCTCTTTGCGGTTGGCATCTCCGCCTCCGGCGCTTAGGGTTTAGGGTTTAGGGTTTAGTGTTTAGGGTTTCGGGTTGAGGCGTGCAGACCTGGTTGGGTTTAGGGCTTCGGAATTAGGAGTTCGACACCCTAAGGGTCCATGTAGCTGTGTAGTATATACTTGCGCCTTAAAGGGGATCCCGTATAGTAGCTTTGGGGTGTGCAGACTTGGTTGGGTTTCGGGTTGAGGGCTAAGGGCTAAGCGGTAAGGGTTTGGGGGTTGCACAAAATCTGGCGTAAGTGCAAAGCTGCCTTGTAGACCAAGGAGGTTTCTCGGTGTTCCCGGATAGAGGTTGATGCCCCTTGTGTGTAGAAGCATGCTGCGAACTACAGATTCATGACATACAACTGAAGAGGAGATAAGAGGAGCACTTCAATTTAAAGAGCGTGTGAACATCTGCGTGTGTATATAGAGACGCGCGCATACAGATCTGATACGCCTAGAATAATGTTGCAAGCATGCTTATCAGGGGCAAGTCCCACAAAATAAACCTTTAACAGAATCACTTCACTTTGGGGTGCTGGTTCTTGGTGGCCTGCCGTGGGAAGAATGCAGCCTGATTCTCAACCCCTTGAAACATTCAACTTGCAGGGTTTAGGGTTTAGGTTCTAGGGTTATCAGTTTTGCACCAGCTAAATTGCAGCATCATTTCTACGTACTCTCCAGGCTTCACTATCAGGCCACCTACCTGGAACTTATATAATCTCATCTACACCGGGGGCACTTCTTGGGGAACGGTCATGTGAGTCATATACCCTGTACTCTCCTCCATGTGTAGGGGTATATGAACGACAAACCCTTATGGGGTTCATGTGGGGGTTTCCGAAACTAGGGGTACCTTATCGGGGTCCTTTTAAAAAGGGGATCCTACTATTTGGGGATCTAGCTTGGGGGTTCTCTCATGTTAAACCCTAAACCCTAAACCCTACACCCTAAACCCTAAACCCTAAACCCTAAACCCAAGGTTAGACACTGATGGTGCACGCCTTCCGCACGTCTCTGTATCGAACTGAAAGTCCTGAGGGGCGGTGCAGCCTGCCCAAAGGAAGGGTTTAGGGTTTAGGGTTTAGAGTTTAGGGTTTAGGGTTTAGGGTTTAGGGTTTAGGGTTCAGGGTTCAGGGTGTAGGGTTCAGGCTTTAGGGTTTAGGGAGTTTCGGGTTTAGTGCTTTGAGGGTGTCAGCTTTCTTTTCTCGGCAAGGTTTGGGTTGGTTGCAAGGATTGTGGAGATTGGGGTGAGGCCCCTCAGCAGCTGGAATCGGGCCTGGTGTGATGTGGGTTGGGTGTTGCGCTAGAGAGACCCAAAACGAAAAACCTGTCGCAGCTGCACATGAGATGCCCGCGGCAGGAGTCCTGCGCAATCCTGAAGAGAGTCAAAGCCGACCAAGATGCTTCATGAATGCAAAGCCCTTCAACGCCTGCCACGGAACCGTCATCCCAAAAACCTAAACCCCAAAACCCTCCACAGAATCCGCTGGGTACTGCAACTTTTAGTTGCAGGTTCATGGGCAGTTGTGTGCCCTAACTAAGATCAACCTGCTATTGAGGCCGAAACCTGAACCCTACTACATGAAACTACACCCAAGGGTCCCTTCACCACAATAGGACCAGTGAAGGATAGCTTCTGTAAACCCCGAAGCCCTAAACCGTAACCCCAGTTATGGGCAGGACCGACCCTGAACTTCCAATGTAGTCCATTGCTTCGAAGCACGAACCCCCTTCATCCAAAGAAATTTGACAAACAGAGAGTTAGGGTTTATGGTTCACGGGATTTAAAGACACTGCCCCCAATGATGTCAGCTTTACGGCGTACGAAGTCCAAGAAGCTTACGAAGAATCGATTCTGTGCGGACGGATCTTTTAAAATCCCTGGGTACCTTCAGGGTTTAAGCGGTTTAGGGTGAGAGCTCTTTGTGTTGCTGTGGCACCAGCAGCGCATGCCGGCATGCCAGCACGGAAAGGACCTGAGGCCGCCAGAGCGTCTAGGGTTCAGGGTTTTAGGGCTTATAGGGACAATAGTTTCCGGTTTAGGGTTTAGGGTAAACGTTTACTTACTGGATATCTTAAATAGCTTTTGATAGGGGGACAGAAGGTACCTAAAGCCCTCGTCATTCCTTATAAGGAGCCAGCAAATTTTAGGGCTAAGGGAATCCACATAGAGAGACCTCACTGAAAACCATACCATGATCCCATGTTGAGATTTCTTAGGGTTGAGCTTCGAGCGTTCGCGGACCAACCCGCTTTGAAGGATGTGAAGCCCTCCTTCTGAGTGCGACTGAGATCCGAATGTCCTCTCACACCTCGAACTGCCCCAACCCTGCGACTGCTAGACTAGTCTGCACCCAAAATCTCCAACGAAAACCTTCGAATGCAGGGAAGGAACTCTTCCTTTCGAAGTCCCGAAGCACTAAGAAGCCCTTTCAACCCTCGAACTTGAACCTTTTCAAAGCCCTACAAGCTCTCCTTCTAAGCCCCCCTATATGCCCTGTAAGACCTGCGGGCTCTTGAAAAAGCATCGGCAAGCCCCTATGCATTCGATAGGTTTACAAGATTTCTAAACCCTCAACCCTAAAACCTGAACTAAACCCGAATGAACTCCTAAACCCCTAAACCCCTAAACCCCTAAACCCCTAAACCCCTAAACCCCTAAACCCCTAAACCCCTAAACCCTTAAACCCCTAAACCCCTAAACCCCTAATTAAACCCCTAAACCCCTAAACTCCTAAACCCCTAAACCCTAAACCCCGAAACCCCTAAACCCCTAAACCCCTAAACCCGAAACCCCTTAAAAATCCTAAACCCTATATAAACGCCTTCAGGGATTTAGGGTTTAGGGTTTAGGATTTAACTAAGGTTTAGTTTATAAACCCTAAACCCTAAACCCTAAACCCTAAACCCCAAACCCCTAAACCCGAAACCCTAACCTTTAAACCCTAAATTGCCTAATTTCCAACATTGCCGAAGCCCAAGCCTTGTAAACGTGTCAGTTTAAGCTGCTTAGACCCTAAGCTTCATACTCCCAAAATGTTGCACCTAAATCTGAAACCTGCATCCCTGAACATTCCGCCATGTCAGCTGTGATCACAGCGGCACAGGAATTATGTATTAGGTACATGGACCCTTAGGGCCTTAGGGGCAGTGGATCCCTCAGGGACACGTCCTGTGAAACGCGAAACAAGCCCAGTGGCGAAGCGAGGACCATGCAAGTTTTCTTAGGAAGGGAAAATGTGCCAGTCCATCCCACTCATTTGTCCAGTCACTCCTACGTCCCTTGGCCCAGGGTGATGGCGCGTACCCTGGAAGTGGAAAATGCCCCAGAACCATCTAATAGACACTTGAAGGTGATCAAAGACAAGGCGTTGGCCGCCAGCAGGCCAAAGTAGATGGCGAGCTCCGTCTCCAAGCCACCACCGCAGGCCGTCTTGCCAAAAACGGCTGCAAGGATCCCGAAGGCGATGGTCTCCACAAAGCGTAGGGCAAGCACCACCGGCATGCCTAGCCTGCGGAACTCCTCCTCATCAGCCATCACGGCCGCGGGCACTACGTAGGGCAAAAGGAGCAGCGCAGCATATTCACCCTCCTTTCTAGCGCTCCACGCTTGGTAGAGATTGCACGCGACGAAAGTCGTGGCAGCCACGGCGGCGCCGTAGGGGCGTATGGGCTCGGAGAAGGCCATCGCGAAGCCCATGCTCCGCACTGCGGCGTCCGTCCCGATGAAGAGCGCCGCCGCGGCCTTGGCCTTCCAGGTACCGAGGCGGTGACTGCCGAACGTCACCACCGATGTGGTGAGCGTCGCGATGGAGAGGCAGACAGAGGCCACCTTGAACGCCTGGCCGTGGGCACCCAGCGCGAAGAGGACCTGGGACTGCAGGTAAAGCTGCGGTGTGGATTCGAGCACAGCCGTGAGGAAACTATACTGCCGACTCGCATGTTTGTCGTCTCCATCCCGCTTTCCGGTCCTTGCGAATTTGGCGACCTCGAAGAAATAGGATAGCTGGAAGATCCCCAGGCAGCACAAGCAACAATCCGGGGGTCCATTGGGCCCTTTTTCCTGGTGCTGCTCTAACGTCCACCAACAGGCCGGCACAAGCGTGGAGAGGACGACGAGCGTGCACGAGAGCCCGAACCAGGACCACTGTGGGATGCACTCGGCGGCTTGGGGCTCCCAACTTGCCGTCTCATTGCCAAGCATGGCGAGGGGGCAGTTCGGAGTCAGGGAGTTCTCCACCACACAGGCGTACCTTAGGCACGACATGCACACTAGAAGGGGCTTATGGTCCGGATGCACCTTTATGGGACGAATATAGTAGCCTGGGGTATACAACCCCCATTTTAGGGTCCATTTCGTCCCCAAGGTGCTGCAGCATCACGTAGAAGTCCGAGGCGTAGTCCGCCAGGTGCAGGACTCCCAACGCTGCCAAGGACCCGGCCTCCTTCCAGAAGCCCATGGCGGCAAATAGCTAAGATAACCGTAGTAAGACTGGTAATACCTACTGTAAGACTTATTTACAAGATGACCCACTGTAGGGCGCAGCTCTAACACTCCCTCGAGCCTGCGCTGAGCTAGTGAAGGACGGCGTCGCACCCGAAAGCAGCCACATGCAACAGATATATGCAACGCTCCGAATCGCGGTCGGGCTCCTGCTGTATGCATTCCATGGAGCCGGAGACCTATATGGGTGGTTGTCAAAGTTATGGTCCCTTTTTGGGGCCCTAGTTTAATACGGCACCTTATGTTTAGGGTACCCAAAAAGGGATCATAATTTTGACAGCCATCCATATGGACAAAAAAGTTCACATATCAGGCCCGCGCCGCCCCTTGCCAGCAAGAACACAAAAAGCATACGGACTAAAACCCTGAAGCCTGAACCGCCTACATAGTAACACCCCGACGCGCCAAAAGCAAGAAAAGAACCCCATTCTAAAAAGAGCTTTCCTAAACCCTAAACCCTAAACCCTAAACCCTAAACCCTACATGGACTCGGTGAACTGAGAGCCGAGCCAAGATCTGCCAGCGCCGGCCGTTGAAGGAACGCTGCGGACGCATTGCGGTTCGGATTTTAGGGAAGTCGGGTTCTAGGGTTTTAGGGTTTACCCAAAGGCTCCAATGTAGTTCCTTTTTGGGTTAGGTACAGGGGATTTTAGTATGCTACCCCAAAAAGGTACTACATAGGAGCCTTTGGGTAGGGTTTTAGGGTTTAGCGTTGTAGGGTTTTTTCAGATTCGGGTGTTAGGGCTTCAGGATTTTAAAGGGTGTTAGGGTTAGGGTTTTAGGGTTGGACGCTGTGTGTTGCATGAGAAAGCCGATGCCTCAGGGCTTCGCGATCTCTGATAAGCACGCAGCTACATGAAGAACTTGGCAAGTGGGGCTGCTGTGAAAAAGGGGTGTGCCGACGGCACTTCAAACCATTCATGATGGGCTCGGCATGGGCATGGCTGCAGAACTACAGAAGCTCCCCCGTGCCCTTATGGGTTCTGGTAGACTGCCATCCTTACGGGAGCTAGGGGAGGAACTGTGGAGTTTCAACCTTGCTCATGACAACTCCGGCGCATGAAATCCGTAGGTCTTTTGGGAGACAGCATGTGGGGCAGTCAAGAGTTTTAGCCCTGCACTTCAAGGCCTGTGGGGCGTGTAGATGGGGCAAGTTGGTTTGGAGTTTCTCAATCCACAAAGCAGGGCGGCTGCCACGTACGAGGCTTGTTGCGAGCGTCCGGCAGACGGTCCATGTGCAAATGCATGAAAAAGCCCTAGATCGCCCTAAAACCCAAAACCCTACCAGAGATTGACAACCTAAATAATACGGTTTACGACCCACTCTAGGGCCCTTGCAACTGATATAACTTGGGCCCTACTTGTAGGGAATGGTGGCACCGCCCAGTTCCGTCAATCGCTGCACATGTGTCGAGATGCGGTTTAGGGTTTCTAGGATTGGGGGTTAGGGTTTTGGGGTTTAAGGTCCCTAAACCCTGAACCCTGTACGCCAAGCACGCCCCCAAGTATCAACCCTACATGCGCTGGAAGTCCACATAATGCTAAACCCTAAACCCTAAACCCTAAACCCTAAACCCTAAACCCTGAACCCTGAACCCACACTTCGACAGCGCGTCGTTCTTAGGAACTTGGCAACAACTCAAAAACAACTTTTCGGCTGAACTTAGCAGACACTTGTAAGCTGTTTCTAACTAGCACAAGTTCTTTCCAAGTTTTTTCGTGGCTTTTGGGCACATGTCAGCTTTACTTGTATTCCGCACCATTGTCTTTGTTTTAGTCCTGTTTTCCTGGTGAGAGACTTGTGAGTGACGCATTCGTACACAGGGTCCATGTCCAGATATAATAGTTTGCATTCGTGCTTCAGAGCTCAGTTGAAACCACCCTAAACCCTAAACCCTAAACTCTAAACCCTAAACCCGTCCTTTATAGCTTAGAGGGAGGCAGAGACCCCCTCTAAAACCGCCGTGCGCAGCCCCCAGCCCCCCCAAAAACATCCAGATTTGACGCGGAAGACGCGGACACAGGCCACGCCAAGCGATTCATGTATGGAGAGCGTGCGCGGACATGCACGGACATGGCAAGTAGGTCGGAAGCTTGCGGCACAGTGGCGCGGACACGCGCGGACCTGTTGTTTTGCAAGAGTCCAGCATGAAGACCATCAGGGCGCGGACGGACACCCGCGGACATATGTCGATGTAGCACGTTTTCGCCGCGGACAAGGGCGGACATTCGCGGACACCAAAAAACGTTCGAAAGCTAAGGTTTTGCGCGTCCGCCTGAGGAAGCAAATATACGCAAAGCAGGGAGCCGACTGGAAGCAGAACTGCAACTAACACAAGCCTGATGTACCTGCGATAAATGGAAAACAGCGGATGTGATCTGGCATTCAACATTTACAAGTTTAGAGTTCCATATAAGAAGAGACAAGAGTGCAGAACTTACACAGTTTGCAAGAACAAAAACGTTTACTGCATTTCCTGGCAAAAAAAGGCAAACAATCATATATCTGGTATCTGGCCAAGTTGCAGCCAACTTTTTCGAGGTTTGGCCGCCAAGTGGCCGCTAAGTATATATGTGGCGCACAAGTATGGCGACAGTTTACATAACTTAGCCTGAAGATATGATACAGATATGCTACTTGTCACCCAACACATAAACTCATACAACAACATGCAAGTTACTTGTAAATCTTTAAGTCCATCACGATGTCAAAGCATGGGGTTCGCTTTTTGCTTTCAGGGCCCCGGGCTTGGCGCGCCGCTGCTCCCCCGCCGCCTTCTTGGGCTGTCTTGTGCCGTCGGGGCATCTCAACCCCCTGGTTCTGAAACCCTAAACCCTAAACCCTAAGCCCTAAACCCTAAACCCTAAACCTATAAACCCTGAGTAGGGAATGAGGGAATGAAGGCCCTGTATAATCCCTTAAAGGGTCGGGGCATCTCGAAGGGTCTTTTGGGTTTAGGATTGAAGGTTTCAGGCTAGGGCGGCTAGGTTGAGGTGTAGAGGGATCTTAGGGTTGGCAGGGTTTGTAGGGTTTATAAGTTGTTTGGGGTCCATGGGCTTTAGGGAAATCTGGGGCTCAGGGTGTTTAGAGTTTAGGGCGATTGAGGCTAAGTCATGACTTTGGAACTCTAAACTCTAAACTTTTAGACCTTCGTACATTCGGGTGTAGCGAGACTCGGATTCAGAGGACAAGGACGAGGGCTCCGGGCCTTCAAGTTTAGGAGCATCTTACACAGGGCTCCTGGGGGGGGGGGGGGGTTGGCAGAGGGCCGAGGCACCTGGATGCCTACTTAACTTAAGTCAGCCTCCCGGGTGCCTGTGGTAGCCACGACGGTGTAGGGTTTAGGGTTTAGGGTTTCGGGTTTAGGGCTTAGAGTTTTGGGTTGCAGGCTAGGGTTTAGGTTTTAGGGCCTAGGGTTTAGGGACCCACTAAGCCCCACAAACATTAAGCCTTAGACCATATACCCCGTAAACCTTAAACCCTGCAAACCTCACCTAAAACGCGGAAGGCTTGAGCATAAACCCTAAACCTCAAAAACCTTAAACCCAAACCCTGGGAAAAGAGACTCTGAACTTCATTCTTTGGGTTTTGAGGAGTTGGGCTTCGGGATTACAATGCCCGATCCCCACAACCCCCGTATCACAAACCTTATAACTCTAAGGCTCTGAAGACTCTATTATTGTATTCTCATAGCATAATATACTTTTCATGTTGTGCTCCACTACTATATCATGAAGTCATCTTTTATTAGTACCACATCTTATCTTTGGAGCTTCTTTGGGCCAAGGGTCTTGGAGTATGTCACTTCAAGGTCAACACTCTTAGGGTTTAGGGTTTAGGGTTTAGGGTTTAGGGTAACTATGTCCATGGCCTTCGTTCGCTCCCTCCACTGCCGCCTGAGGAGGTGGGGATGCGAGCTTGGCACAATTGACGATCGTGGGGTCCTAGGATTTTTGGGTTGGAGGTTGCGGGTGTAGGGTGTTAGGGGTTTAGGACATAAGGTTAGGCTTAGGAGTTTTTAGGTTCAGGCAAAGAAGTTTAAAAATTGTCTGAGCTTACGGTTGAAGGATGCTACTCTGCCGAAAAGCCATCAACCACCAGTCTTTCGCGGAGCTATAGGCGCAACAACACTGGCTTAA